TAGGGCTGTGGGGAGATAGGAACCCTTCTTTACTGTAGGTAGGAGTGCAGACTGGTGAAACCACTGTGGACATCAATATGGAGATACCTCAAACAACTAGGACTGGAAGTCTCATTTGACCCAGTTATTCCTCTGCTGGGTGTCTTCCCAAAAGAATTAAAAGAATCATACACAGCAATATATGCTCACCCATGTTTATGGCAGCACAGTTTATAACAGCTAAAATTTGGAAACAGCCCAATTGCCCATCAGAGACTGGATGATGATGCATTATTTTAAAAAAATAAAATGGAGCAATACTCATCCATAAAGGAGAAACTAGAGATATTTATAGCTAAGAAGATACACATTGAGGCCATTCTCTTAAATGAAATTAATAAGTCATACATGTGTAAGTACTGAATAATTTCTCTGGTGTGAAAAACTAAAGTGTAAATAAGGATCAAAATGTTCAACTGATATTGTGTAAAAGGGAGAAAAGGTCTAAAGGAAGAGAGGAAATAGGAGGGGTAAGGGAAAGGTAAAAAGGGTAAAGAAAAAAATCTGAAAAGGAAAAACACGGAAACAATATTTTTGTAAACAGGAAAGGGTGGAGGGGGTGAAGAGAGGGCTGAGGGATGGGGAAAAATAAGAACTAAGATAAGTCATGCAGAGGTACAAGATCCCAACGATGAATGTAATTGTACTGTATACCTAAAATGTACCAATAAACTTAATAAAGATAAAAAGATGTATTATTTAAAGATACAAATTCCCAGTAACATGTCAGCACACTGTATATCTAAAATGTACGAATCAACTTAATGAATGCGAAAAAAATAAAACATTGGCTATTTTATAGATTCTATAAAGGTCATGGGAACTGCATGAAACATTCCTAGGATAAGGTCATATAGAGAAAGGAATATCATACTCCTACGAAATAAGTTTCAAGCCCTATGCACCCACTTCATTTTGTGTATAAACCAGTAACAAATTCACAAGCTACTGTAACTCCAGGTTTCAGTAGTTCCACTTTTATTCTTTAAGATGAAGTCTGGCTATAGTGCCCAGGCTGGCCTGAAACTTGACTCAAATGACCTTCTTGTCTCAGTCTTCCTCACAAGCTGGGCCTATACTTGTACGCCACTGTCCCTGGCTTAGTTTCTTTTTGGTGTGGAGGAATGAAACGAGCCACATAGATGTTAGGTAAGCACTCTACCATTAAGCTACATTCCCAGTGCTTATTTTTATTTTAAATATTGAGACAGAGTCTTGGTAAGTTGTCTGGCCTGGCTTTGAACTAGAGACCCTTCTCTCTCAGCCCCTCAAGTAGGTGGGATTATAGGCATATGCCACATCTGCTTAGTTTACTTTTAAAAATAGCTTTAAGTACCAGAGCAGCTGTTTAATAATTTTACGTAAGTAAATCCTTTGCTTGGAGTTCTCCAAATACTGTTTCCAGTATGGCAAGACAATAGGGGGACTGTTTGGATGCTGTTTTGGCCTCTAACAGATTCCAAGCTGCTGTCAGCTTGGAAATAAGGTCATTCTGTTTTTGAGTCTGTTAAAATATGGCAAGGAGTGAAAATTCTTAACATCTTTTCACGATTGTCTTCTTTTACTAGTCTTTGATTTTGCAACTGTCTTCATTTGGGGCAGTATTATTATGTCTTGCAGTTAAGGGCTATGTTTATGGACAGGAAATTACTCACTTTGCCATCACAGTTTTGTGTGCATACTTGTGCTTATCTTTTGCATGTTAGTGATCCATCCAACCAGGAATCTCCCATGTATTTACTAGCCCTAATCAAAGCCTCCCTCAGCCTTCTGGAGCAGAAGCTGGGACTTCTGGAGTAGAAGCCACCTTACCTGGCTCTCTCACTCGATTATTAATTCAGTAGACTTTTAACTCGGAAAATGGCTTAAAGTTTCTCATAATTACAATATAGACCAAATGTCAGCAATTTAAAAGGGTATAGGGATGACACCCATGGTAGACACCCTGGCAGAGCCTTCAGCATTAGTGTATAATGAACCCTCGAGCCAAAGGAGAGTAGCACTTGAACTTACCCCTACAAAGCCCAGTTTTCACTACAAATGACAGTTGCCAGGACCAGGGAGGGTCCGGTTGACACTAGAGAAAAGAAAATGGGGTGTTCTTGGGGGCTTCTCTTCTTTTGTAACTCAGCTGTTAGGAAATGGAAACCAAGCAGAATTATACATAACCTACTGGCCTACCAATCACCCCTGTAAGTAATCACTTAAATTTCTTTTTATTACTAGTTATTGTTGCCATCAACAAAGCCAGAGGGCACTGACCCTTGGAACAACTCCCTACTAAGAGGCACGATGTTAACAGACACAATATACAGTTTTTCTCTCTGGTACCAAGGATTGAATTAGGGCTTCAAGCACATAGTTCTATACCTCATCTATACCCCAAAATACAAGGTATGGTTTTGAGGTAGTATCTATGATCACTGTATTTTGTACTAAATAAGAGAAACAGTTTCATTCCCATCAAAGCTAGCATTCTACCAATGTAAGAAATTATACATAGCAGAACATACACATTTTTAGATTTGCCTTACCAAAATTGATGCATCAATTGAAGATAAGCACACAGAAATCATTTTTCAAAGACAATTAAATCTACTTCCTATTCAAAGTTCAGTACTTCACTTAAATTTGTAAATCTTTTTATTGACAAAACATTAAGTAATGCTTTTCACTAATTTAAGTGTTCTACTTTAGAGACCACGTGAATATATTTTGGAGAAGTAAGGCCCCCTGAAAGACAATGTCATGTACATCTCAGTTTCCTCTGTACTATTTCACGTAGTAAAGCCACTTAGGGATGAAAGAGACACAGTTCTGCTGAGACACTAGTACTGATGGGGATGGTATATATGAAGAGTATACATATAAAGTTCAAAGAGCTTTATCTATACTTTGTTTCAAATATCACACCTAACTCTAGGAAGCAAAACTAATTTTAAACTCTCTACATCTGTCTACTAGTTGCTACTATAACTTTACTTCTAGTACTTATTCTGTTGGAAGACAAAAAGTTTTAAATGTTATCAACTGCTAAAAACAACAAGGAAGACTTTAAGGAAAGAATATATTTGAACCACATAAACAAAAAGATATTACATAAGAAAAAATAATGTAACAATTTATGTAAGTACCTAACATGAGCATGCTCTTACATCTAAAACAAAACAAGAAGTAACATTGGTACTATATATATATATATATATATATATATTTGACGTGTGCATTAAAGAAATCTCTAATATAAAACATTTAAAATGTGGAGAATACTTTTTCAAGATACAGGAAAAAATTGTTAAGATAGGCACACCCACAATTCTTATAAAAACATGCTTGCAAAAATAAAATTCATCTGACTACTCATTTCTCAGATGTACAAAAGCCATGAAACTATTAATCACTGGATATTGCCTTCTGTTTTTGCATTGAGTTTCAACACTGATTGGTATGAATTCTGGCTTACATAATTATTGCTATTTTTCAGTCTGTTATGCTCCAAGGGAATGCATCTATTTAATATGAATACTGAGAACAGCAACATTATTTGTATCACAGTCACTTTTTTTTTTAAAGGCAGTATGTTCAGAAAATAGTTATTACAAAATAGTGCTTTGGAAGATCTGAAACTTAAAATTAATGTGCTCCATTAATCATAACTACATCTAAGAAGCCTTAACTGGAAAAAACACAAATGTAAAAAGTTGATGAATTTAAAGATTATAAAATTGGTTTATTGTAAAAGCAATTCAAGAATAACCAGTTAAAATCTTATCCCCATACTACCCAATACAAACAAGAAGCATTAAAACACTTTTACATTAGGAAAAAAGACATAAAGCAAGAAAGACCACATTAAGGCTGTGATTCAAACTCAAAAGGAGAAAAGACTCTTAGATCTCCTTCAGGTCAGTACAAAGAGTACGATAAGATCAAAGCACTGTGTCAGGTACACACTGTGCTGCTACAACACTGAGGTATAACTGAGCAAATTAAAAGTCCAGGGGAAACGGAGACTATATATTCTTGTTTTGTGGGTGTATTTAAGTGATTGAAATTTTAGGAACAACTGCCTTTAATGACAGCAAGATGCAAGACAAGTCTTTACTAAAGATAAAGAAGTTTATAAAGTTTTCTATCAAGGTCCCACTAACTCTGCACAACCCACACCCACCTTCCCACCCTCCCGCTAAGCTAAAGCTACTCTGCTGATATATATACGTATATGTAAGATGTGAATTTAATTTGTATCTTACTGGCAAACTGTAGGTACTCCTTCTAAGTAGCTTTGATCTTCTGCACATTAACAACCACCACAACATTCTGCATCATCCATATGCTCAAAGTTGCATTCTAGGTAGAATTTCATTATTGTTTTAAACTCAATACATCTGCACAGTGGCCAAATCCCCCCAGGCTTAATTAAAGATTGAATCTTTTTCCTGTGTTTTAGATAAATTCTGTAGAGTCAATTACAATGAATGACCAATGTATGAATCATTATATACAATACAATGATTGCATTATTTTTGAGCACTGAAAAGTACTTAAAATTAAAACTTCCACTTTTGCACTCCTCCAAATTGAAGGGTCAAAATACTTAAGATTTTGTAAATGGAAAAAAAAAAAAAAAAAAAAAAAAAAACCCTATCTTCCCAAGCTGAGGCTTTTCACAGAAGCTTTAGCCAGGAAAAGAGAGTTTGTCTGTTATAAACCCTTGAAAATAAGGGCTTATTTTAGAAGCACTGAAAGACCCTTAAATCATAGAGGGGCTGGCTGGTGCCACTATAATTCATACCCAACTACTACTTCATAGCTTATATTGAAGAGTTAATTCATACTCATTTTGTTCTTTTTAAAAAATATTCTTTGGAAGCCATTATTACTTCTGTAGACACATACTCTAGTTATATCTCTTCCTGTAAAAATAAAGGTATAATCATGATTATCTCTATTTCTTTGCTAAATTCAGCTACCAATATACATTTATTAATCTGATCGCTTTACCACCTAACTCATGACCTTACAGTATTCTACATACTACCCAGGTCAATTTTCAGCATACAAAAGTAGGAGCAAGTCTTATAAAAATCTTATTTCAACCTACTACTATTTATTGTGTTCATTATAAACAAGACCTAAGGTACTAGAATTTACTTCCAAAACTAAGGTAAAGGCAAGCTTCCAAAGTTAACGGAAGGTAAACCACTATGAAGCTTACTTTTTCCATGTACATTACAAACCTACTCAGTAATTTCCCATCAAGACTCAAATTAGTCCAAGGGGGAGATTAAGCCATTTCTTGTTTGCCCCTTTTCAGTTCATCAGATAATATTTAACATGTGTCCAGAGGGCACAGAGTACTCATCTAGGCACTATCCATAGTAATACCCTTTCTAGAATACTAAACTACCTCAAATATCTGTAGATTTCCCAAACAGAATCAAACTATGAAATATAAACTATTAGCCATGACTTCTAAATGCATACATTCAAAGCTACCATTTAAAAATAAACTGGAAAGTAGGGAAGCCTAAAAAAAAGATACATTCTGCTATCACACTATTATAAACATTGTAAGTGTGCGTGTGAATATATAGAAAAAGCAGATAATAAGATTTAAATAAGATGGCAAAAACCTCAAAATACAGATTTTACCAAAGAACTACAATAACCTTCCCAAGCTATAATTATAAACAGATTAATCAATATAGTAATTTGCCTAGGTTCTAAGAAAACAACAAAACCAACTGAAAAAAAAAAGACCCTACCGCCACCAAAAAAACCCAAACAAAAAATAAAACACCCACAAAAATATCCACTCAAATCTATACTCGAGTATGAGGCAATAATTAATGTATTTCTATGGAAATTGACTCATGCCTTATAAGCTCCTAAAGTAAAATCAAAGTCACTATGTGACTAATGATAGCACTAGCGGGGGAAAAAAAACACTGAAAGTAAAACAGTCTTCAGCCTTGGTTTCAGCTACCTCTTCAAATCAGCATTAAGTAAGTACTTAATATCAGGTACATCATTTTTGGCTTGTCAGACCAGCAAGACACATGTTTTGCCACTGGCCAAAACAGCTGAAGAAACTACTTGAACAAACTAAAATAATGTGACATGAAGCATTTGACTTCCAACAGTTAAAATGATCAGTGAACATCTAACTGGGCAAAAGGAATGACATCCATCATCCAAACAGGCTCATTTCCCCAGCCCCCCAAAAGAACAGTAGTTATAGTAGCAAAAGAAACAAAAACACTTTTTTGATTCTTTAGGGCCAACTGTGAAAGAGGTCAGCAATATATTAACAGCAGCAATGGACAAGGAAGAGCAAAATAATGGATGAAAGAATCTTGCTGGACGTTTGTTCATCTTTTTCTGTATTAGCCAGAAAAAAATAACGGGCTTATTTGGAAATTTCAGGTATACATGTCTCATCTCCTTAGATCCTTCACAGATTTAGAATTCAGTCTACCTGAGAGCTCTATAACCATGTAAGAAAGCTTTCTTTATCTAGCTTGGTGGCAGCCAAAACAGACTCCATGTCATTAAGAATGTCAGAACTCAAAGCTTCCTGGAGACTGGGCATCAGCTCCTCTCCTTCTATGTTCATTCCATCTCCTTCCAGTGTTCCAAGGTCCACATTTGTCCCAGGAATGGCTTCAAGGTAGTCTGGGAAACGGTTCTGCTGTGAGGGCAGGGTGCTTTGGTTGATAGTATCACCTATTGGGACAGAGAAGAGAACAATAAGGTAATATTTTGAAAAGCTAATGTCATAGCAGATACAGACATGAAAAGAGAAAGAAAGCTCCCCTGACTGACCTGGACTGATGCCCAGATAATGAAATGACAATGTCAAGTTTACTTTGCTTTACCACTGTTTAGATATTCAATGTACAGTCTGAATGATTATTATTAAGTGTGAAGCAGCAAAAGGGGTTATGAAAAACATAAAAATTCCTCAAAATATTATATGCAGCAGGGGCAGAAAACAAGCACCCCATGCAATAGTATCACTACACTACTGACTTTCAAATATACAGCACCACAATAAGATTACATGTTTAATAAAATCTTCTAATCATGGAGATTCATCTACAATAACAAAACAATCTTCCTAGAAGTTCTTGAGTAAATAAAACTTTCTACCTTTTTTTTAGATTTCCCAACTAACCTGGTTACAGAACTTTTTTTGTTTTTTTGGTACCGGGGATCGAACTTGGGCCCTTGCGCTTGCAAGGCAGGCAGCAGAACCACTGAGTCAAATCCCCGGCCCAACAGAACCTTTTCTCTGTATGACTACATTAACATTCCTCAGAACTTCAATAGACTATGGTGTTCAGAAAAACTAAAATAATTCATTAATAGGGGTTTGGATAAGAAAGAAACGAAGATTCAAAGAGTGCAGATAAGTGGCATGCACAAATTGGATATGAAGTGGCTCCTAAGGATGATTTAAATTCTCAGTAAACAGAGGAACAGTGCTGTAGCATGATGGCAGGTAGCATAATTGTCACAAGCTGGATAAGCACAGGGACAAAAGACTTCCAAATATTTTCAGAAGACAAGTCATCAGCTAGCTAGTCAAAGAGCTGTTTTATTTCCTTGTAAAGTCCCATGTTCTTAACAGTTGTCAAACCAAGGGCAATGGTCACCAGTAAAGTCATAGGAGAAATAGTTCCTTAATTATCCCTGCAGGATAGCTATTTCTTAGTTCTTGCAAGATTTCTACAAATATTTTGATAATAAAGCAGGAGGGGCTTACCACCAAGCATTTCTCTCCCAGTCTCCTAACACCTGTTAGACCAAAAATACTTAGAGAAAAAAGAGGAGCAATGTGACAATGACACTCATGGAAATTAAGAACACAAATCACCAAAATTAAAAACACAAATCTATAATGAGAAAAAAGACTTCTAATAAAGACCTTAAATTATTTATCTTGTGAATTAACATGTTAAAATGTCATATTATGTTTTATCCAAATACAGCTAAGATACCCAATCTGTGAGGGAAAGAGGAAAATAAAGGGGAGGGGAGGGAAAAAAAGTAATAAAGACTTAAAATACAAATCACAATACAGAAAGCAAAAGTCTTGATTTGAATTGGAGTTTACATAATTTTAATTGGTTTTCATCTGAATAAACCTTTGCTCACATGTTATCAGATCTGGTGGTTACTGAAAGTTTAGGTTTTGTAAGAGCAATTAAAAATACTAACCTGTATCCATTTCATCAACGCTGTTTAGGAAGTCATCTGGAGTCCGAGGGACACTGTAGCTGCTCATGCTTAACCCACTGTCTGTACTCTCATCTCGAGAGTGATAGGTGCCACTACAACAACAACCACAACCACAACAGAAGTTAAAGACCAATGCTGGAGTGGAGAGGAAAGGGCATGTAAAAAGGCATGTTATGTACGTGTACCAACTCCCCATGAAGGATGTAATCATTATGTATCTAAAACTTGTACTGATGAAAAAAAACAAAGAACAAAAAACAAAGAATAAAAAAAAATCAATGCTAAAAAATTTAAATCAATCCAGGCAAAATAAATACTGAGTATCAAGATTCTCAAAGAGGATTAGTAAAATTCTTACCCTGCAATGCCTAAAACAACCATTCTCCTTCAGGGCCATACACAGCCCTGTACTATGAAATGATGTAAGACAGGTTATCCTAATTGAAGCTGGCAGCTCTAAGGGGCTAAAATCTCTCCTAAGGTTTTTCTGTTTTGTGGCAGTAACAAAAAATGACAGATCCAGTTAGTTTCTCTAGTTGACAGAAAATTCTCTGCATATGTATTCTCTCTGGGATACCATCGGATCAGGGGGTAGTGGTAAGGGATTTAAGGGGTCTAACAAGCTCCACATAGATTGTTGGTTCCAAAGTCTCAATTCTCCTGGTGGTGGTAGCATTGGCAGAGAGGTCAAAACCCAAGCTCTAGCTAGGCAGTAAGACAGGCCTGCACTACACTCTTATTAAAAATTCTTAGCTCTGGCACAGAGAACTTAAGCTAAAAAACAAAAAAAACCCACAAAAAATCCAAAAGAAAAGCAGAATTTCTTTTTGGACTGGGCCAAAACAGATGAGTCACTGCCAGTGAGATAAGAATTCCTGTAGCTTGATTTCTTTGCTCCTATTGTAGTGAGGAGAAGAACCCAAAAACCTCAGCCATATAGCTCGATTTGTAGTAAAGATAAACAAAACAAGACACTACAAAGCACATCCCTTGAAGAAAAATGTAAGCCAAGACAGATTTTTTACTTTAGGCTAAGTGAAAAATTTTCCAGATTTACATACAGGAGTGGTAAATACCCTCAGAACATTATATTCACAAACAGAACACTCCTTTATCTAGTAGCACAAAGATATCAGCTGACATTGACTATAAAACTAAGCTTTACAAAGGTCTTATGAAACTTTATTTTTCTTAATGGTTTCTGAACATGAACTTTAACTTTGCCTACATCTTGGAAATTTAAGCAACTGTTTAACTTAGAACAAAAGCTTAACAACAACAAACCTAAACTTTAAAAACAAGCTTTAATTGTTCAAGGCTAAAAGTTCAGTGTTGTGAATTTCTTTCCTAAATTGCTCAATGCATTTGCCTTGTCCTAACACACCCCTTTATTGTATACTGCAACCACTGGTTTACCATAAGCTTCTGCCAGCTTTAGGCAAGATTCATAAGCCTCACACACATCCAACAAAACACAAACTTGCCTCTGAGAGCACATAACACAGCTGTGCACAGAAAGGCCTCAGGAAGTAGTAGTTTGTTTTTACTTTTGAATGTCCTAGTCTCGAACAAGTGGTCTTGTCCAAATCATCACTCTCTTCTCACTGCTGTGTAGCACAGGGCACATATTAGACATCTGAGGACATTACAGAGAAGCTGAATTTATGGGGTTGTGCAGCATTCAATCCACACAGGAGGCACATGAGCATTCCTGAGGAGAGTTTACAGGGCCATTTTCCTGACTAGGAATCACTTGCTATAGAACCCTACCTCCTGCAGGGCCCACTCATTAAGTGTTCCCAAAGTATCGCTACTTTATCACAGGCACTAAACCAGGCTGTGATGATACAGAAGTCAATAACAACAAACTACAACTGCAATGAGGAAGATGAACAAATATACCAATAAATTATATACAGGTCTATATGAACTATATGTGCAAAAGGAAAGGTTTCACAGCGGGGGACATCTGAGCTGGCCTTGAAAGGTCTCAGAACAAGAGGGAGGTAAGGCAATGCTGCAACACTAATAAGAGTCAACTCCCTGCCAAATTAGGGGAACAAAAATGCTTACAGCCTAATGAGTTAAGTGTTAAGTCAACTGGTAAGTCATAGCTAAATTATCAAGAGTATCAAGAAAAAAAATATGCCATAGTCAGATGTGTGCTTTAGAAACTGGGGGTAATAACTGTACAAGCTGCTCCTCAAAATAGTAAACTGATTATCTGCTATGCTGTGATTTTACCAGAAAAGAATTTCAAACTATAGTCCAACTCTTGCCAAAAATTTTAAAAAAAGAATTTACACAAATGTCTGTAAAAAGGATCTGTAGCTTACCCATTTATTTAAAAAAAGTTAATTTTATCCTGGATCAACACAGGCCTACACTAAAATAGGTATTGGGCTTACCCTCATCCGAAGTTTTCCTTGTGAAAGAAAAGTTTTGTGCCCATGATGATCTTTCCTCACTAGCTGCGGTTAACTTCAGAATTACAAGCTTGTATAAATACTCTTAATTTTAGGCAGAATTTTTAAATACTGTGTGTGTGTCTGTGAGAAGATTAAACACAAACTTAAAAGTATATTTGAAAGACTTTCAAAGTAAAAATTCCCAACTAGGCTACCAGTACAAGATTGGGAGAACAATGGGATATAGATCCTATTGTTCTAAATATTTTTAACAGGATAAAATACATTTTTCTTAGAATTGTGAAGTTTTTAGTTCAAGTGGGGAGAAATAAAAGGTGACATAACAGCTTTTCTAAACCAAAATATTTAATTTTTAAAAGTATGCTGCTTAAAATTGATTAAGGAGAAAAAAAAATCAAAACCACAAAGTATTCCATATTTTAAAGAATGAAACCTCACAGATATTTTATAACCCAGAAGAGTGAATTTTAATCAAATAGTAAGTGGCTTTCAAGGCCAAAAATATTATCTGTTTCAGTCTGTATTTGTCAATAGTTTATATATTGCAATCTGTCCGAAACCCAACAACTGTGATAACTAAGAAGCATCCTAAGCTATTACTTTCAAATACAATTTTAATAAATTTTTGAAAAAGGCACAACTTTATATTTCATCTCTGCAAACCATAGCTCTAAGAGAACATGGCTTATAGTGCGGCTGGATGAAACCTCTCAGGTTGAACGGTTACACAGAAAATATCTGCCAATGGTCCTTAATGTGAGATCATAATTAGGTTTAAGATGCGGTTCATTTACTGTCATAGAAAGGTATTCACATGTTCTTTCACGATTAATTTTAAGTAACTATTAGTCAAGAGTATAGGCAGAAGTAAACATGTGACCAAGGAAGTACCCCCTCTTCCACAAGTCTGAATAGCTCATTTTTCTCTTATTGAAGATGGCTTTTAATCCTCAACTTTTATTGTACTTGTCATTTAAGGGGAGATTCATTTGTAGCCATGGTTTCTGGCTCACACAAATGTTCGATACAGCCTATGACAAGGTCTAAGTAGAACAGTCTTAAAAATTTTTCTATCATCTTTTTCAGATATTGGCCAGTAGCACTCTCACCAACCTGTTAAGGAAGGGATCTGAGCTATTGGTTGTCATTGTTCTTAATTCCTGAGACATGCCGGGAGAAGACACTGGATTTTGAGTTCCACCATCCTGCTCCAGTGTTGGCAACTGGCTACGAAGAGCTAATTCCTTAAATAAACAATACAAAGAGAATCAATCTATGAATCAACAAATTTATTATTAGACTTAAAGAAATAAAATGCATATTAGAATAACTAAGTATATACAAAGTATTAACATTTAGTTTAGGTATCAATATTTACTTTAAAGTTAATACATCTCCCAATCAGAATCTCCAAACTCTTCTATACATTTCAAGTAACTGAACATTAAATCATATCAATTGGAAGTTTGTCTAGTTTATTAACCCAAAAATATACATATTTTGCCATTTTCCTTACCCTATCAGATATTCCCTGGTCCTCCCTTTGAGTAAAATGGCAAGTATGGACTTTAAAAAATAATTCTTAAAGTTTTTATTTACTCACCAATGTTCATATGGTTTTGTGTGTTTGGACCAGCAATGAAAATAAAGAAGCAGAAAAAAACATTTGATGATTTACTGCAAGACACCAACAATTCCCTCCATCCCCAAACATTGTTTTGTACTTTGCTATCAAGTATCTCACTTTAACTTCAGGGTTTTTTTCTATCTTGAGCTGGACAGAATATTTTTGTCATGTAGCAGGGACAAATAGGCATCAGAAGTAAAAATATGAACCCAATGTTTCTTTACCATTATCATAATGTTAAAATAAATACTATGTTTTCAAGGGTATCCAACAAGTGAACAGCAGATTTCTACCTAGAAATATGAGTAAAAGTTACGGGCTGCTACTTTGATGATTCCCCATGGTTTGCTTCAACAGGCTTCCAAACATTCATGAACACTGCCTATTTTGCCAGTCCCTCCACTACAGTTTATATCACTCTGGATAACACTAACAACTTCACTATTCCTGTGTCATTAATTTTTCCTTTTCATTTGTTCAATGTTCTCTACTCTGGTAAGAATTTTTCACTGCCTATCAGCTTCCTGTCCCCGCCCCCCTTTTTAGCTTGATTTGAAATAAGGATTTAAAAAACAAAAATCATAAAATACACTGGCTCAGCTCTCCCCCGTCTCCTGAGTCAAGTCAGTCCCACCATCTCCACTTAACTCACTACCACATTCACTACAGCATGGTGGTGTGGAAATAATCTCCTAGCTCTTTAATGACTTCTCCAAGACTTTGATTTCTCTCATGCAAAACCAACTATTTTTTATTCAGATTTATGTTCTTCTGGATATATCACTTCTTCAAATCTGTGTTTCTTAACCAGAGGACCATGAGAGAATTTGTGAAAAGGTCTGAGAACTTGGGATGAGGAAAAAAATTATTTGTTAATAATTTTGTTAAATTCTAACTTGAATTTTGTATATTCCTCAATTATGAATATAGGCAACACCATAGTATTCACTGTACCTGAATTTTCATCAATAGAATACAATGTAGATGGTTCAAATAGCTTAAAATACCATACATGCTGACTGTGACTGCAACATTATAGTAGTTAATACATGCTTCTAGATTGTTATTTATAGATTCATAAAGAAGCACATGTGTTTTGGTAAATGTATCAATAAAATTCCTTTTCTTTAATATTTTACACATATTATCCTTCTTGTATATTTTTAAAAGCTCAACGTTCTGAGAATGGATCCATAGTCTCAGCTGAGTACCTAAGTAGTGTGCCCTTTCCCCCAACAAAGCAAAGTACTTTTTGTAAGTTACTACATCACATACGGGAGAATTCTGGAGCTTGGTTCAGGGCCTCCTACCATTGTATGTACACATGCATCTCAGGCCTCACAACAGGATTCAGTATACCTTTTAGACTCCAAAGATCTTCATTTACACTTATCTCCATCACTCTACATATACAGCCACCAAGATCTTATTACCTGAAATCAAACTACCTCTACAATCTTATGTCATGTTCAGGACAATGATCATGTTTCACTTCTTTCCAATAGCATCTATCACCCTGGAACCATCAACAACCAGGTACAAACTCATAATAATCTATAGCTGAAATTACTGTATATCCTCAAACTGCAATGATGCTGTTGACCACTTCATTAATGCATTTCAATCATGAACTGCCTCAGTCACATCTGAGAGTTGGCTTAGAAATTCTCTCCCAGAAATCTTACTACATTTTCTTTTCGTGCTTCCTTTATGACTCTCTTCTAGTCAGCCCTCCAAACTCGGAAGCTTTTGACTCTTCTCTTTATCATTCCACTTTAATAGCTCTCAATTGGTTCCTTGGTTCGCTCCTTCCTTCCTTCCGTCCTCCCTCCCTCTTTCTTTCCTCCCCTCCCTTCTCTTTCTTTCTCCTTCTCTACAAAGCTGAGTTTATAACTGATCATTTGAAAAACATACAAATATCTTTTGGATTCCTGAAAGAATTCTGTGTTTCAGATTCCATATATTTTCATCTCAACCCCAACAAACCACAACCTGAATCAAAGCTAAAATGTATTTGCTTCATTTTGATACTGAGATTGCTGAGAAATTTCAGGGGTGGGGGGAAAAAAAAATCACACAGCTATCCAGAGTGGAATCATTACAGATTAATGGTCTTTGGCCTTGGGTGGGGGCCCTTAGCAGAATTCAGTGACTTTCTTTGGCGAGGGAGGGATTCCTTGCTCATGTATGTCAACATGGTCAAAGACTCTACATATGGCCCTCTGGAACTCCTAGTGAGTAAAATCCATTTCCATTTCCCAGCCATGTAAATAAGGACACAGATCATTTATGCACAATCGGTCACTGACAGCTTCTGCCACCTCTTCCTGCTCCCCTCAAATGTATCTTTACTCACACTCATCTCTGTAACTTTTTTCCAGTCTCAGAAAATAGGTAAAAGGCTAATTTACTTTCTCAGTGCTTCTGGAGATCCTATTTATTTTCTATCATCTATTTGTGATTCTTTCCATTCTAATCTTATGAAGTTATGAAAAGTGAGTTTAGAACAAAGCAAGTACATGGCACTAACCTGTAAATCATTACTGAAATAAGCAAGCTAGCTATAGTTTTATAATGCTGCCAGAACTTTTTTAGTCTTTCTCATAAAGTTCCCACTTTTCCAAAATTATTTTATAAGGTCAAAACTAAGTTATGGGCAGACTAGACTCTCCACATTTTTTGCTCCCTTAAGTTCGGCACTATACTTGTTCAAAGCTAATCTTTTTGATGGTTTTTTTTTTTTTGAGTCTCACCTTGTTGTCCAGGCTGGCCTTAAACACAGTCCTCTCATCATAAACCCAAGCTCCAGAACTACAGAAATATTTCAAAGATTCATAGAGACTGAACTTGAAAGAACAATGAAAAACACTCCTTTATGGGTGGCAGCACTATTTGACATAAAACAAATAAGACAAGGCCAATGATACATATAGCACATATACATATTATAGATATCACACTCAAATCATGAATGTTCAGCTGACATCTGGAAGTCAAGTAACAGCACAACATCATTGCTTAGACATCCTAATTTTTGAACAGCTTTCCTCAGATTTGAGTAACAAGTTGCACATAAAGTACATAATGAGTTTTAAAGGTGTATACTTCCAAAACTCCCACTACAATAAAGATAATCATTACCCAAATAGTCTCTTGCTTCTTACTTCCTCTGCTCCCACCCTTAAAAATGAACAGTCTGCTTTTTGTCATTAGAGTATATATTATAGATTATAGTTGTCCATTAATGCATTCACAAAGACTGGTCCTTTTCATTTAGTAAATTACCATGATATTAATTCATATTACAACATAGTTCATTCCTTTTTATCACTAACTTTCTATCATAAAGATATACAATTAATTATTCACTTTCTGATAAGGCATTTTGGTTATTTCTAAACTTTGCCTTTGTGTATATACATGTTGTCATTTCTCTTGGATACATTAAGAATTTTAAAACTTAAAACTAGCCTAAGTGCTTTCAAACTTCTGACTACTTCCAGTGCCTTTCTCTTTTTCTAAATAAAGAGCACTTATTTTATATGAACCAAAATACGTATTATCTCAATGTTTTTTTGTTTTTTGTTTTTAAAGATAAAGCCTCCTTATGTTGCCAAGGCTGGCCTTGAATTTGCAATCTCCTGACTGCCTCAGCCTCTGAAAATAGAATTACAGGTGTGTGACATTACATTTGGCTTTTAAAGTCTTGGCAGAGGTACTGGGGATCAAATCTAGGGCTCTGGGCATGCTAGGCAAGTGCTCCACCACTGAGCTACAACCCTAACTCTGAAAATGTCTTTTTTACCCATGGGAATTATATTGCTATTTTACATGAGAGGAGGGAAATGGAGAATCAATGCCTATAGCTGGGCTCTGGGTTCATAAAAGCCACTATATAAAACAGGTGAACTCACTTTTTCCTTTATGAACCACCCTGGAAAATTCTCTCTCTAGACCAAGTTGGGACCATTGATTTTAGTTGTAACGCAGAGAACTCTGACTCCAAATGTGTCCCAGATTAGCTGAGATTTATAAGCTCAATGGGAAAAGTCACTACATTTTTCTATTATTACAGAAGAAAAGAAGCCTAAAAATATTTACTTCATTTAGAAAAAGTCAAATACTCTAGAAGAACCATTTGACCTTTGAAATACAGAACAGAAGCATGATTAAGTTTTGGCTGATGTCCTGTAACTCGCTTATTTCCTCATTTTTGAAAAACTGTTAAACTATTCTAACTACTTTTGGGAAAAAAAAGTTTAACAAACTTGTATTTTTAGATCAGTATTCTAATTTTAGGCATTGTGTTCAGGATAAAATAATACAAAAATCCCTTTGTTACTTCATGTAATTTTCAATATGAAACATTTCAACTAAAATCATTTTGTTGTAGACAATCCAATTATGCCCCCAAAGTTTACTTTAAAGACAGCTATTCAAGATTTAGTCAACTCTAAAATAAGTTTCCCATTCATCCAAAAATATTTACTTTAATAGGTTAGAAAAAGGTCTACACAGTCCTAAAATATTCACTATTTTATATCCATAATTCTTAGTTTCATGTAGTAATTCACATTTACATTTATAATACTTGGTTAAGAATACAAAAATTATAAA